CTATAATGGTTGTATTGATGTATATCAACTTGAAATGCTCCCAAAAATGACACTACAGCATGTAAAAATATAATATAAGCTCTGGCGGACTTGGTTCTATGCTACGTCTTAAAGGGTTAAAATACTGACCACTGCAAACTCTCGAAAAATCCATGGTACCATTTGACAATATAAGCACAGGATCTACTGATCACAGAGACCCGAACAGATTTTCTGACAAAATCAACAAAAAAGTTCGGTTTTATGAGAGCGTGAGATTAGTGACAGTGACATTATATATGACATCAGGGTTGTCATATATAATGCCAGTAACAAAGCATACAAAACTAGCTGCAAGCATACCCAGTAAGCTATAAACACACTCAATGTCAGTAAGAATAACCGAACGATGAATGTACACGCTGGTCTGAGTGGGCTGGAATGTGAGCCATAGTTTTTTGACTATGATGACATTGCTATTGGCAGGTTAATTGCTTTGAATTGTGAGCACAGCAAAAACAATAAAATTAATCTGTCACATATCATATCCATCACACTTTACATACTGATTCCTGTCTATAGTAATATGTACAAAGTTTTCTAATGCAGCGAAGGATCGTTACAGATGTTTTGGAAACGGTAATTTTAAGTTTTGCATGCGGATCAAGAGATTTAATAAAATGTTGCGTCTAAGCAGTTGTTTTTGGCTCACTATAGTGTCATAGTAACCAAAAGAAATAATAACAATAACTACACAAATGTGCCCTATCTTGAAAAAATTATAATTTAAAGAAAGTTCCTTCTTTTTAGGCTGATGGTACTCCTCTTACGTGTCTGTGTGTTCCGATCATACATCTGTCCAGCAGTGGACTCGGCGATGGCTTGCAGCTGATCTGCAGATGACATGACGATAATCTCTATAAGTATGTCCTGTAATTACAAAAAGGAGAAAGAGGTTGATAGAGGCAGAAGGATAGAAAGAGAGAGGATGCAGAGTGAGATTAAAAGATTAAGATTGAAGTGCAATTGAACTCTGGATGTGAGAAGTTAAGGTCAGGGCACGAGGACTTTAAGTGCAAATGAAAAGAGCCAAATGATGGAAGGAGAGCGCAGATCTCTTCATCTGTTTCACACATTCTACTTAACTGGTGCTGTCACAGAAAATCTGAGAGAGCACATGGGGGAGGATATACACACGGATCACTTGCAGACTCTCACTCAGCTTGAAGCGCTCAAAGAAAAACAAATGGTGAGGAGTGTGAAGTAAACTGTGACAAGGTGTCCACATCTGCACAGCTGCTTAGCTGGTAGGAAGGATGAGGGAAGGGGGCATAGAAATAGCTCACAGGAGGTGGTAGAAGGAACAGACACAACATACGGCTGCTTCCGGAGCTCTAAGTGAATACCAAGTAGGATTATTCCCCCTGGAATTGGCATTCTTGTGGTATGGGAAGCAGGGTCATGCCAGTCCAACACAAAACGCTGTGAGATTGATATCTGAGTCCACCACATTGCAATTCATCATCATCCCAGCTGACTTGACGAGTGCTGTGATTGTTGGGTTGTGAAACCAATACACTCTGTGGTCTGCTGTTGCACTCTAGGAAGCTAGACACACATTAGTTTCACAACTTAAATATGTTTGTAGCCACTGAAAGTCATTCGAAGACGATGATAA